GTATTCTTCAAGCCAAACAGCATAACCTTGTAACAGGAAATACCCCGCTTAGTAATAAATGAGGTTTGTTCTTTATCGGGCTGATACATTGGATTTGGTTGTATCTTGAGTATGCATCCATGAAGCTGAGTAGTGCGTTTTCTGTTGTCGCATCTGCTAATTAGTCAATCCGGGGCAGCGAAAATCTATCTTTGGGACAAGCTTTGTTTAAATTTGTGAAGTCGATGCAAGTCCACCACTTGCCATTCGAATTTTTTACCAAGATTGGGTTGGCGAGCCAGTCTGGGTATTTCACTTCCCTGATGAAGTTGATTTTCAAGAGTTTGTCAACTTCATCTTTGAGTGCTTTGGAGTGCTCTGCATCTATAGATCTTCTCTTTTCTCAAATTGGTTGAGCTGTTGGGTCGACGTTCAACCTATGGCACATTACCTCAGTGATGATCCCCACCATATCTGCATGTACCCATGCGAATACGTCGATGTTTTTCTTTAGGAACCCCACCAGACTATCAGCCAGTTCTTTGCTCAGACTGCTACCAATTTTTAACACACGAGTTAAGTCTTCCTCACTAACAAATACTTCTCGCAACTCTTCTGTTGACCCTACCACATGCTCTTCTTTATGGATGCAGGGATCTATGGTGTCTTCCAAAGGTCCAGGGTTTAGCTCAAATTCTGTGATGATCCTGGTTCTCGAGAGTGGCCATTTCAGTGTAACATGAATATCTTGGTTGTAGTACTCTCGAGATTCTTTCCTACAGCTCTTGACTGTTGCAACCTCGTCTGGACTTGGGAATCTCATTGCCTGGCAGTGCACCGAAGTGACTGCACTCAGATCATCTAAGATCGGTCTTCCAAAGATGACATTGTAAGTGGTTAGGCAGTCCACCACTAAGAATTCTACCATGACCATTTTGATTTTGGGTTCTGCCCTTAAGGTCACGGGCAAGTCGATTGTTTTCTTGAGGACTAGACTGTCCTCGGTGAATCCATAAAGCGGCGATGGGCATGCCTTCAAGTCTTTCTCTGTGAACCTCATTTCTCAAAAAGCTCCCGAGAAAATGATGTTCACTGCACTATCTTTATCAACCATCACCCTTAGTACTCTAGCATTGTCAATCCTTGCTACGATGATAATCGCATCATGATTATGGCGAAGAGATTCTTCACATTCCTCCACTGTGAATCCTACCACCTCGTTCTCTTGCCTGGGTCGCTTTTATGGCTTCTGTTCACAACTCATTACTCGGGGGACCAAGTCTGTTTTGGCCTCTCGAGCATATTGCTCGCAAGAGCACCTTGAGCTCCTTGTAATGTCAGGACTCCTGAAGATCATACCTACCAGAACTTTATTGTTGGCATTGGTCGGGGCTTGCTGGATCTGCTTATTCTGCTCGCTATATTTTTGCTAGCAGACGTCTCCTTAACAAACTCTTTTAGGTGGCCCCTTCGAATCAGATCCTCAATGACATCCTTTAAAGCCTGACACTTATTGGTGTTGTGCCCAATGTTCCAGTGGTATCGATAATACTTCTGCCAATCTCTTCTGCCCGGAGCCCCCCTCATTTTTTTTGGAGCGAGCAGTCTCTTAACCTCACGGGAGACTTTATATATATGAGCTATGTCTTGAGTGAATGGGGTGTATTCTGCATACTGCAGGAAGGGTTGCCTTTCCCCGCGATTTTCTGTCTTCTGCTTCTTTTGGAACCTGTTACGATCCTGGTCATTATGGTCTTAGCCCATTTGTTTATCTGATGAGTGTATTCTGCAAACGTACTCTCTGGCGCCCTGAATCCTTGTGGAAGTGGGGCCTAGCGAACTTCCTCTATGAAGGGAGAGCTCACTATCTCTTTCACCGCATTGTTTTGGCGGGCTCTTAGATTGTCAAGCATTTTTTGCACCCGATCTAAGTTTTCATTGTGAGGATTACCTTGGCTAGCTCTATTTAGCCTTACCTCGAGCAGGTGAGTTCACAAGTTTATTGCTTGTGACCCCCTCCATTATGCTTATTGATGCGCGAGGTTGAGTCATGATGGTTGGGCTGGTAGGTGCTATCAGGCTCATCGATCCGTTGCTCACGATGTTGGTCATAACCAGAACGTCGGTCATTGCTAGATTGGCGCACATGACTCATCTCGTGAGCTTGCGAGGATGAGCCAACCTTAGGCGTAGGTTAAAACTGGCACGCTGACGCTGGGGATATTTTCGAGTAGGTAAGGTATTCCTCTATTGACCATTATCTTGGTCCTTTCCTATGGGCTATTTGCCCGGTCGCCTCTCGGGGTTAGTTTGCCCGTGGGACTCTCGTTCTTGTAAGGAATGTTCCTGGCGAAGTCGGGATCTTTGGCTATGTCTCAGTGCCTATGAACCAGATTGGTTGCCGGCTGAGTTCTGACCTATTGGCGTGACGTCGGTGAAGCGTGGCGGGTCAAGGTCTTGGGGGGCTAGTTGCTGATTTCTTAGCCCAGCCACGTTTTGTTGCATAGCTTATGCGACCATCATTCTGATCATCTCCACCAACTGATCATTCTCGGGATTTAATGTCCCTACCCCTAACTAGTTTGCAGCCTGCTACACCAGTGGCACTAGTGGTCAACGCCCGACGACGTCTTGGTGCACCTCTTGGTGGGTGATCTCCACGTTGTCGTGATTCCTGGTAGTGGTCTTTGATCTGGTTCGTACCATCGTGGGCCTCGAGTGGTCGGGTTATTGGATTTGGTTTGCCAGAAATTCTAAAATTTAGAGAAGGCCCTCCTTTTAGCGCCAAAATGTTGATGCAAAAATACACCAACTAGAGCAATCTGATCGACCTTAACGAGATCGAAACTAATGTATGTGTGATTACAAGTAACCAGAAATGCTTAAACGGAAAAATGCAATAAAGTAAATGGCACAATGAGTTTTTAAAGTGGTTCGGCGAGTTATACTCTTAAGGCTACATCCATTGTTTTTATATTTGCTATGAGAGTTTACAATAATAATCCTAGAACAATTTGCTAACCACTTTCTCATCGTTGGAGGGGGTTTATATACAGATTTTGTACAAAGGAAAGAGTGAAAATAAAGGGATTACAATTAAGATTGAAATGCAACTCCGATATTCTCGCGATTAAGCGCTGAGATTGCGCCAAGATTGCTGTCGATCTGATCCCTTCCGTGATATCCAGGATCTGGAATTATCTGTGAATTGATTGAACAATTGTAAGGATTGGTCGCAACTAGCTTGTGTTAGGTCAAGCTACAACTTGACGCTTATGCTGAGTCGGACAATCAATTAAATCAAATAGATTCTGGATCGAGCTATAACCTCGCAATTCTCCGAGCTTGACGGAAAAATCACACACAACAATACTATAATATAATGTTATAATTAATTAAGTAATCATATTATAAATCTATAATCTAATGTTATAATTAATTAAATTTATAATAATTTAATTAAGTATTGTACTAATGTGGTAAATTACTAATATTTATAATATAATGTCATAATTAATTAAGTAATTATTTAATTATGTAATGTCATAATTAATTAAGTGGTCATACTATAATGTAATGCTCTAATTAATTAGGTAATCATACTATAAATCTATAATATAATATTATAATTAATTAAATTTCAAATCATTTAATTAAGTATTGTATTTATGTTTATAATAGAATATTATAATTAATTAAGTAATCATTTGTTTATAATGTAATATTATAATAAATTAAGTAATCATTTATTTATAATGTAATATTATAATAAATTAAGTATTATAATTAATTAAATTTCTAATCATTTAATTAAGTAATGTGCTAAATTACTAATGTAGTAGATTATTAATGTTTATAATGTAATGTTATAAACTTATAATTAATTAAGTAATTATTCAACTAGTAATGTACTTATGTTTATCAATTTATCATATATAATTAATTAATTACTAATTTACTATACATATACTTAAAACTTGATAATTGAAGTAAATAACTAACTATTCATTATTCAATCAAATATACTATTTTATTCAAAAAAATATTTTAATAACATTAAAACACTTTTAATTGGATCCTAATCTAATTATACACTTAATTAATCAAAACTTTAATATTATAATATATTAAAGTTTTTTATATGTAAAAAATTTAATATATATATTGATTGAAGTATATATATGTATATATATTCGATTAGGTTATTATAATGTATATTAAAGTTTTTTATTCGGTGTAGTTTATATGTATAATTCTATATATATTTAATCAGGTTATTATAAAAATTTAATTTTTTTTCATTTTAATTTTTTTTTATATGTAAAATTATATAGACTCCCCATTCTTCACATATATTTTGTTTTAGCCCAGGTTTCAAAACATGTTCTAATCCGGGTACCTGCCCTCGGTTCTAAGCAGGTTCCAAACCGGATACCTGCTTCAAGTTCTTTTTTTAGGTTCTGGTTCCGATTCCTCCACATGTAGGAACTAGAATCGGAATCAGAACTGGAACCTCACAGTGTCGGTTCCAAAAAAATGGAACTAGAATCTACCCACACAGTGTCGGTTCCGGGTAGGTTCTGGTTCTACCTGCTATCTATGCTCACCTCTAATTACTTGATAACCAAACAGAATAATTAAGTATTATAAAATGACATAACCTTAGTAATCCTATATAACCCTCAACCAAACGTCCCCTAATGGTTAATTAACAACAGGGTAATTTTTGTTATTTCTGAAATCTTATGAGAGGTTTGTCATTTAATTAAACTTTAGGGGATCAAGAAAGCCCAAAAAAAAAGACACTTTTGGCGGGTGAAATCCACCGTTTCAGTTGTGCTTAAAGAGCAGAAAGCGTTTCTTCTCGGTAAAAACATGAATTTTAATTGAACTGTATACAACACGTTGCCACGTGGCAAGAGGAAAAGACAGCCGCCAACCACCTTGGTAAGTCTTCTTGTCTACATTAAAATTGTCAGAAAGTCAAAATTCAAAGTCACTAGCATCATCAATTAACAAACAACGACGAAAATAAAATATTTGTAAAAACTTCTCAAACCAAAGACCACTTCAATGGGTCTTCTCCTTGTTGCCTTAAACCAAAACGCACCTAAACCTCTAAAAAACCCACAAATCTCTCTTACGTTATTTCTTTTCATCGCCTTTTGATAATAAGAATCAATGGCGGCCTCGCATCGCCTGGACCCCCAGTCTGCGGCGGAGAAGGCTGTCTCGGTCATCGGATTCGGCTACGATTTGTGTTCTGATGTCCGGTTAACTGCATGCAAACCGGGTCCTTCAGGCTCCAGGTTGATTGAAATGGATCAAACCAGGACTCGAGATCTTGTTTTTCCTGGTGGGGTTGTTGTTAAAAACGTCTGCAGCTCCATCAAGTGTGATAAAGGCGAGCGGACAAGGTTTCGTTCTGATGTTCTCTCTTTCAATCAGGTGATTTTTGAGTTTTTTTTTTTCGTTTTGTTTTAATGAAGAAAAAGCTTTGTGCGTGCTTAAAGTATTTAGTACTTAGTAGTTTGAGAAGTGACATGGATGGTATAAGTTTAATGGAGTAAATTTGGAAAGTTTGAGATGTTTTTTGGTTAGTGGTAACTGGTAATGTTTCCTAAAGGGGAAAGATTTCTTTTGGGAACTATTTTTTTTTTTTTTTTTCTGTTTTCTTTTTAATTGAATAATGTTGATGAAGAAGGAAGAAACAATTTTTGTTATTAAAGATGGTTAATTGGGGAGTTTTCTCTAAATTTTGATCGATAAAAGTTTGATCAGAAAGTATAAATTCTGACTTTTGTGTGTGTTCATTTTGAATTATTATAGATGTCAGAGAAATTCAATCGGGAGATGTCGTTATCCGGTAAAATTCCATCGGGTCATTTTAATGCAATGTTCCTCTTCAATGGGTGCTGGCAGAAGGATGCATCTGCAGCAAAAAGTCTTGCTTTTGATGGTTGGTTCATATCATTGTATAATGTTGAATTGGCAAGATCTCAGGTTGTGTTGTCTGAGCAAGTGAAACAAGAAGTGCCTACTTCATGGGACCCTGCCGCCCTTGCTGAGTAAGTACTTGAAGCTAAAAGCTCAACATTGAAGTAAAGCTGCAATATAATTCAAAAACAAGTCTAGCTTACTTTGGAGTTGAAAGCTTATCAACAAATCCAAACGATTTAATGTTTTCTGTTATGCCTTTTTTTCTCCCATATAATGTATGATACTCCTTCTGCATACAATCTAATTTTTAAAATGATTTTCCAGGTTCATTGAAAAATATGGTACTCACATTGTTGTTGGGGTAAAGATGGGTGGTAAGGATGTAGTTCACGTAAAGCAGTTACGGAATTCAAACCTTTTGCCCCCTGAAGTGCTGAAATCTTTAAAGCAATTAGCTGATGAGAGATTTTCTGAAGAGGCAAACCCTGCTCAAGTGTCAGGAAACATGAAGGTAAGAAGAATTATAGAATCATTGCGACCCCTATTGCAAAGTGGTAATGTATTTTTGTGTCTTTATGATGCTTCGATGCTTCAAAGGGAGGTAAGAGGAGAGTAGACATTGACAAGTTGCTAGATGTAGGAAAGTTGGCCACTAAGTAAAGATCCATCATACAAGTGAAATTCTATTTCTTGAAGCTTTCAAACAAGTGAAACCCTGCTAAACTGTCAGGAAACATGAAAGGGCTTATATCTCTACTTTTAGCTTGAAGTCTTCGTATAAATAAAAAATCACACTCTTATTACCTTTAAAAAAAAAAAAATGCACGAACTTCAACTTGGGGGATGGTACCATATCAGCCAGCCCGTTGGGTAAGTTAATTATATAATGAGAATTGATCCTCTGTGTTTTTTCATAAGCAGTGCTGCTAAAATCATAAATCGTTATATAGTTGTCTTTTCCTCCGCTGATACTCCTGATATGAGACTAATTTGCAATGTGTTTTGAAATTGTCTGTGATATGTCTGCATAATTTGCAGTCCTTATATAAGCTTTTTAAAAGCAATCTTATCTTTGGTCATTATGTCTGTGAGATTTGCTAACTAAGTAGCAGTGAAGAAATTAAGGTGAATAGGATGAAACATTAGTTAAAAATCATATTACTGAACCTGCATATACATTTTTGAGCCATTGGTTTGTCTAAACTTGAAAGATGTTAATTTGTGAAAGGGCAATTGTGACAATGAGAAGGAAAGTAATTGTTCTAAGTTAACGTTCTTCTTTTGCTTTAGGATGAATATCCAAATTCTTGGAATCTCCAGGGACCGTATGCTACCACTATTAGGCCACCCATTGTCAATCATTCCAAGAATAATGTAAGTTTCTTGATATTTCTTTTACTAACTTGTTTCTTAAACTGAAACCAAAAAAAAAAAAAGGCAGTATGCTTTGTGTAAATAAGATATGAAAGATCGTATATCTCTTGTCAGGATATGATGAGCATTCTCATCCGAAGAGGAGGTGTTGATCTTAATCAGAGTCATAACCAGTGGCTTTCGACCATATCACAGTCGCCTAATGCCATATCAATGTCCTTTGTGCCTGTAACATCACTTTTGGCTGGTGTCCCAGGCACTGGATTTCTGACTCATGCGGTGAATTTGTATCTCCGATGTGAGTGTCTATGAATCTTTATCTATCTGTTTTTTCTCTCTATGTTTTTTCTATTACATATCTAATTTTAGATGCTTGACGATATCAGTTGGTAGCTGATCTTAATTCACCTCCATCATAATAAAATTGAACCATGGGAATTAGCCAAAGTACCAAATATTAGAGCTTTAAGCTTAGGAAAATAAAATAAATAAGCATGTTCCTCTACAGTGGTAGTTGTTTCAGAATACTGTTATTGTCTCTAATAGATGCTAAACCATGCAGATAAGCCACCGATCGAGGAACTCCATCAATTTCTAGAATTTCAATTACCTCGGCAATGGGCTCCAGTGTATGGTGATCTTCCTCTGGGTCTAAGGCGCAGGAAACAAGCATCCCCATCCCTTCAGTTTACTTTTATGGGCCCCAAGCTTTATGTGAATACCATGCAGGTAGCATCTAAAATCAGCCATGCAACTAATTGTAGTTTTTGGAATGCTTTGTGATAGCATCTTATGCATTCTTAATCATGCAAAGCACATGTATTGTTTAAGCTCTTGACTGGGAGAGTTTATGGAGTAAAAATTCTTGGGAGTATGAATTAATAAATCTTGCCCTGTAAATGGCTCGAATCAACCATATCAACTATGAAGGAAAAGAAAACTTATATGTTTGTGTGTATCGGATGTTATGTCTTCAATACTTTGAGGTGTCTCATTATATTTGTTTTCTTGAGCCTTTTACCACTTTGGTGGAATCTTCAGATCCTAGGAACTTACCACAAGTTTTATGAGGTCTGCTCTGTATATCCCTTATATTATGGGGTTGTCCCTTCTCTGCCATTTTTATACACAGTTGAAAAAGATTTGGTCATTCAAAATATAGCGTATTCTAAGTTTGAATTTGGTAGTTAAATTACCTATCTCACTGAAAAGGCATTTAGGATACTATAATTGTACTGTATTTTGCCTAAGGTCTTAGATGCCTGTTATGTCTACATAGCTTTAAAGATCTATGATTTTGTTTCATCAGTATGTAACTGTTTCATACCTTTCTTATTCTACCAAAGTTTTAGCTGTCCTGGTTACTAAATCAGTGATATGCAGGTTGATTCTGGAAATCGGCCAGTGACAGGAATCCGCTTGTACTTGGAAGGTAAGAAGAGTGATCATCTAGCAATCCATCTTCAACATCTCTCAACTGTTCCCCAGACCCTGCAACTCACAGATGATCATAGTTACGAACCAATTGATGAGCCAGCTGAACGAGGCTACTATGAACCAGTCAAGTGGAGCATATTCTCACATGTGTGCACTGCTCCAGTACAGTACAATGGTGCCCGCTTTGATGATTGTGCCTCAATTGTGACAAAGGCCTGGTTTGAGGTTAAGGTTATTGGGATGAAAAAGGTGCTCTTCCTGAGACTTGGATTTTCAATGGTGGCATCTGCAAAGATCCGGAGATCTGAATGGGATGGACCCTCAACCATGTCTCGGAAATCAGGAGTTTTCTCAATGTTGATCAGCCAAAAGTTTAGTACTGGATTGAGTCAACCTGAGAAGCCACCAGAGAAAGTGGATTTGAATTCGGCTGTTTTCCCAGGTGGCCCTCCACAAAAGGCGCCAAAAATGTCAAATTTTGTTGATACAAAGGAAATGGTCAGGGGTCCTGAGGACCCGCCTGGATATTGGGTGGTTACTGGAGCCAAGTTGTGTGTAGAGGATGGCAGAATCTCAATCAAAGGGAAGTTTTCGTTGTTGACCATAATGTCAGAGGACTCTATGCTGTTGATGTGAGTAGATTTGAGTAGGGAGCAAAAAATATTTATTTGTTGCTGTAAATGTTATCATGTACATCACTTCTTTAATATCACATTGGATAGATATCAATTGGCATAAGCAAGCCTGGTTTGACAATGTTGATATACACAAATATTCATGAAATGTATTCTTCATTCTTGCACCTTCATTTGACCTTGAAGCTTATAGCACATACAATATTTTATACCTAAATAAGGAAGGATTGAATATAGCTTGAGGCAACTGTGGAAGGATGGTATGCAGTCCAAAACCATATCTCAGGAAACAGTCATGATAAAATTGCTGTCATTGATCAAGTCCATCTTAGCTTGAAGGAGATATTGCTGAGAACTAGATTAAAAAAAAAAAAAAAATTGAGAATCAGAAAGGGTGGAAATTGCACTCAATTCTATATACATGTTTGATTAGATAAGAAATGGGAACATGTGGAATTCTATCCAGAATTAAAAGAAAATAACAAGTCAATTCATGACCCTCGGTATCAGTTGGCTTGAAAGTAAAATTTAGCATTCTTGACCCTTGGAATTATAAATGTTGGTACCACCGGCAGACAGACAGCTAATATAAGAGGGAAAGCCAAAAGCAGAAAAGCAGAAGCATAATTCTTTCAACAGTGGAGAAGAAATGGAACTCACCATTTATAAATGAATGCTAATAAGCCGATACATTAACTATGGTACAAAATCTTGTTTTAAATTAATTAAGAGAGAGAGTGGTTTATAGCAGGTCTCCAATATCCCCCTCAATGAGTGCATAGAGGCGGTTAGTGCAAAAGGAGTGCAAAGAATAATGTTAACTCCTCAAAATGCTACCAGTAATCTCCACAAGAACATGAACCACCTCTAAAATGGTGGAATCTGTTTATGTCTCTCACTATAATTTCCCTTGACACAATTTTTGAAACGAACTTGAACACTGTATGGCAGTCCACACAGATTCGAAGATTTTTTTTCACCCTAATGGTAGCTAGTGGTGGAGTAGCGATCAACCCAAAAGCCACTGCAAGTTTCTCACTGTGGTGAAATAGAAGCTGTTCCTTTTCACTTCGTTCCACATCATGCAGATCAATCTCTACCATGGGAACATAGCCAGCTTTATTTAAAAGGTCACTTAGCTCATCAAGCTTTTCATAGATTTCCTCGCTTCTAGCATGATTTCTGTCTCCTACTATGAAGGTGTATATCTTGTCTTTCACTTCAATCCAACTTATCCCAGGCTCCTTCTTCACCTTACTGTCTTTCATAAGTCTTCTAACCTTTGCTACATTTTCCCACATGCCAGCCGATGCATAAAGGTTTGCAAGAAGAATGTGGGTGCTGGATTTCTCCGGTTCTAGAGCAAAAAGCATCTCAGCAGCATGTTGGCCAAGTTCAACATTCTTATGGATTCTTGCAGCTCCAAGAAGTGCACCCCAAACAGAGGCATTTGCTTGAAACGGCATTGTATTTACAATCTCCATTGCTTCATCTAATTTCCCTGCTCGGCCAAGCATATCAATCATGCAAGCATAATGCTCTTGCATAGGTGTAATTCCAAACAGCTTCTCCATTGATTCAAAATACTGTTTGGCTTCAGTTAACAAACCTGCATGATTGCATGCACACAGGACACTAACTAAAGTAATGTGATTGGGGGGTATACTGGCCTTAAGCATCTTATCAAATACTTGCAAAGCCTCTTTTCCATGCCCATGTTGAGCAAGACCTCCAATCATTGCAGACCATGAGATTATTCCTCTCTCAGGTATCTCAATGAAAGCATGATCTGCATCATCTATGCTCCCACATTTGGAATACATGTTAACTAGAGAGTTTCCAGCAAAAATATCTGACATGAATCCATACTTTATGATGTGAACATGTACTTGCTTCCCTTGTTCATATGCTGATAGATTTGCACATGCATTCAGGAGAGAACTGCAAATAAAGGAATCTGGCTTGATCCCCCTATCTAGCATTTCCAAATAGAACTTTAGAGCCTCTTCACCTTGTCCATATTGGGCATAAGCTGAGATCATTGATGTGAAAGCCACTAAATCTACAACCAGGGGTTCTCTGAATACTTTTTCAGCAGCTTGTATTTGACCACATTTTCCATATGTATCAATAAGGCTGTTTACAACGTAATTATCAGATTCAAACCCTGATTTCACAGAAAGTGCATGAACTTGCCTACAAACATTGATACCCTGAAAACTAGCAGCAGATTTGAGGACAGTAGATAAGGTTGTCTCGTTGAAACCTACTCCCTCCCTGTACATCAAAGGAAAAAGTGATACAGCTTCTATGTGTTCACCAATTTGTGAATGTCCAGAGAGCACGGCATTCCAAGCAATTAAGTCCTTCTCTGGCATCAGATTGAAAGCCATTCTTGCATCATCCATCAAATTACACTTGGCATACATATCCACAAGTCCAACACCCACAAAAGAATCAGATTTTACATCCATCTTTATGAAGCTACAGTGCAACTGTCTACTCAATTCCTTGAGCCCCATTCCAGCACAGGCTTTAAATACACTCGATAAAGTAAACATATTTGGATATGTTCCAGAATTTTTCATTTGCTGAAACAATTTTAAAGCCCAATCATGGTACTCATGAAGAACGCAACCAGCAATCACGGTGTTCCAAGAAACAATATCAGGATGTGCAATTTCCCCAAAAACAGCAACAGAATCGTCAAGAATCCCCACTTTTGCATACATGTCAACAAGAGCATTTGCTGAGAATGGATCTGAATCATACCCAAGCTTTATCAGGAACCCATGAATTTTCCTCCCCTTTCCACTATTCCCCAAACTAGTGCAAGCATTTATCATACCTGACATACTAAACTCATTAGGTCTTATTCCACTAGAAACCATTTCTTGAAACAGATCAACTGCTTCTTTACAAAAATCACTCTGCACATAACAAGAAAACAACCCATTCCAGGAAACAACACTTCGTTCTGGTATTGCATCGAAAAGTCTTCTCGAATCTAAAAAGTCCCCACATTTAGCATACATAACAACCAAACTATTTGCAACATACTCATCAAACTCAAAACCTGTAACCACCACAACCCCATGAACCTGCAGCCCTACCTTCAGGTCCTTCTTTATAGTACAAGCCTTAAGTACACTAGGAAAAGCGAACTCATTACACTTAAGGCCCAACAAATGCATCTCTTGGAAAGCCAAAATTGCTTCTTCACCAAGTCCATTTTTAGCATACCCAGATATCAAAGCAGACCAAGAAACCAAATCTAGTTCAGGACTTCTATCAACCAGTTTACGAGCATACCCAAAAAATCGACATTTAGCATACATATTAATCAAAGGGTTTGTAATCTTTGGGTCTTTAGATAATCCAAATTTGGTTAGATGGGCATGGATTTGCATGCCTGGGGTTAAGGACTTCGAAATAGTACATTGTGATAAGAGTTTAGAGTAGGGTATTGAAGTGGGTGTGAAACTGAAACTGAAATTATTGTTCTGGGCTAAGCATAATAGAGTG